AGAAGGAAGCCCACAAAGCTTTGACTCTTGAATACTTCTCCTTTCGTTTTGTTTTAGATTAAGTGTTACACTACTAATACATTTTTTCGACATTGCTACAAACGTCACACGAGACCAAATTCAAGTTATCATTTACTATGATTACAAAAAGGGAATTGTCTCAGAAGCAATGTCTTCAATCTTTTTTGTGTAAAGATTCAAGGCATGTCCTTCTATGACAATTTTCTTTGTAATCATAGTAAATGTTAACTCGAATTTGGTCTCGTGTGACGTTCGTAGCAATATCAAAAAAATGTATTAGTAGCCCAGACGAGCACAGGACGGGTAAAAAGACTAGTCACATATTGAGTCCTGACGGCATGTCCAGACTAGTCTTTTTCTCAAAAAGTCCTAGTACATGACTAGTCCGACATCATTTTTCGTCCATTGTCCACGTCCTGACTATGTAATGGATGGGCGTCATTGTGTTCATCATGTCTAATCAACCTTATATTGACTTCTTAGCAGTCTTGGACGAGTCCTTTTTGTGAAAAAGACTAGACGGGTCGGAAGTCCTGACGCCCGTCCAAAATGTATTTAGAATGAAAAAAGTAAGGACATCTGCGGCGGTACATCGGACGAGTCATGATGTTGTGTTGTGTACTGGACGAGTCTGGACTAGTCTAAATTGTAATATATAAGGATGAAGGTTAGATTCGAACATGCACACAATATATCACTTATGCATCGTTTAGCCTATTGAACCACACAATCAAGAGATCAACTTGTACATATTCATAGTCATTCTAAGATACTTTTGGACACAATATTACTTCGCTTTTCTTCAAGTTTTGGTACAAATAAAGAAAAAATTAATTATACATTAAGAAATTAGTTGGATATGGCTTTTTAATGTTAATTTCGAACTTTTTTTATTTTTGCTCTACAAGAATTTCTTTTGACCGCTCAGACTTCATAAAAACTATTTAAAAAGTTAAATACAAAAATAAAGTAAAATAATTTAAATTTTAAAAATTAATTTTCTTTCGTCTAATAATTCAAGTTTGTTTGATACCTCAAATTTTGCAATTTGAACCTGAGAATAAACTAAAATTATCCACTCCGAATCTGTTTTTAAGTTTAAATTTAAATCACTAGAAACTCATCATTGAAACAAAATGAAATGATCTTGTAAAAACCATTAATGTTGAGGGACTTTTCGCATTTTTTCTGTGTCGTTTCTATGGGAAAAATCAATCGTGATGACATTCTCTAATAATATAAATTTACTAACTGTGGATAATATTTGGAATCGTAATGTGGTAGATCATACTTGACAGTTGATCATAGACAGAAAGGCGCATCCTCACACAATACTGTATGGTAAGTTGGGTGTGGGTGCGGGTGTGGGTGTGACTGAATGTGTGGCTAAATAATATGGGAGAAACAATATCTACACCTACACCTAGACTCATACCCACACCCACATCCTCAACCACATCCCCACACCCACACCCTCAACCACATCCCCACACCCACACCCACACACTTTCTAGGACGTTCTAGACTAGTCCAGAGATGATTGCAGGACACTTCTCGTAAATATGACTAGTCTGGACGGGTAAATAAGACGCTTTAGACTAGTCTTGATGGGTATTGAGGACATGTTGGACTAGTTATGTCGCTCGTCACCAGTATTTTTTTGCTCATTTGGGAGTGTAGCACCTAATCGAAAACAAATCGAAAGGAGAAGTGTTCAAGAACCAAAACTTTGTGGGCTTCCTTGAGACTTGGGTCTAATATCACAACTACCAACCTCGTAAATATCTATTTATTTTAATCAAGAATCCAGAAACTTTCAGAGTGACTCACGTAAAAAGAATTAAAACTCATGATATACCCGAAGCAAATGTTTTCTGCAAACTATACCATAATTTTACCTGTAAACTTATGTGATGCCCAAAATGATGTTATTCTGTTTCCTCATGTAAAACTAGTGGTGAAAACGAAATATAACAGTGTCATGGTGTGGGCTGTGGATGTGAGTAGGGATACACTTTCAAGCATCACCGTTGGGACCAATGAAGTCGGTAAACTGATGAGGAGCCTGCAACGATGACTGTTTTTTTCTATTATTCAGACGCCTCTCTACTAAAATAACTCAGCAGTGTTAATGCACTGGTCTTCATCGTAGGTTTTTCGTATTCTTATCGGCCTCACTGTTTTCTCACCGTTGAATCCCTAGATGTGAGTGTGGGTGTAGGTGCAGGTGCGGAGTATGGGTGTGGGTATAGATGTGAAGTATAAGTGTGGGTGTGGATGCGGGTGTGGATAGGTCTAGATGGTTTGGATGTGGGTGTGGGTGCGAGTATGATTATTCTATTCACTTATACCTACACCCACACTCTTCTGTTGGTTTCTTTCTACTTTGTTTCACTTTCTTTTTTAGTTTTTCTTTATAGAACAGCACTGCAAATTCATCTCCCTCTTTTACAACACGAAAAACAAACACGAAAGTTTCTCGTCTTTCCTTTCCTTTCTTTTTGGGAAAGAAAAGTTGAAAGTCAGTTAACTTTTTTCTCAAAACAGAGGAAAATTGTTACTTTCCTTTCTTTTTAGAAAGTAAATAGAAAGTAAAAGTGCCATCCCTATTGACGATTCTCTCACTAGCGTTACCCCACTCAATTTTAACTTGATAACATTTATAGTAAACAATGAACAAAACAAACTCAGCATCAGTTACAAAAGCTAGTGGCGCAGGAAAAACAGAGAAAACATATGGCTCCTCAAAAGATGCAGTTCTACGGCAAAGTGCCAGTGTTGGAATGGCGCAAAATGTCCTATTGATTTGGTTGGACAACAGCGTTGACGAAAACAACGAAGATTGCCAAACTATAATTACTCATCTACGACGGGTTGTCAACACCATCTACACGTTTACTGATGTTGATGAATGTATCGATATCCTTACAGACATCTACAATGAAAAAGTTATCATGATAGTCTCTGATACATTATGTCAATATGTTGTGCCTCTAATTTGTGATGTCGCTCAACTGCATGTTATCTTAATCTTTTGCAAAGAGAAAACAAAACATGAAGAATGGCCCAAAGGACAGCCCAAAATTAAAGGAGTTTTCATAGAAATTGCAGAAATCCATGAAACAGTCAAACAAGCAGCACATCAGTGTGAACACAATGCCATATCAATTAGTTTTCTGAACACAAACGATGATATCTCTAATAAACACTTGGGTCAATTGGATTCTTCATTCATGTACACGCAAATTCTTAAAGAAATCTTATTATCTATTAAATTCGAAGAAAAACATATTCACGAATTTATTAATTATTGTCGTGATGTGTTCGTCGAGAATATAGACGAACCGACGAATATCAACAAATTGAATATAAAATATCATAATAAAACACCGATTTGGTGGTACACTCGTTCATGGTGTTTATATTCAAAACTTAACCGTGCCCTTCGACTAATGGATGTGAACATTATTATTAAGATGGGCTGCTTTGTTCGCGACCTTCATCGTCATATCGAGCAACTACATAATGAACAACTTGGCGGTCATTATTCTGATAACTCTTTTACGGTCTATCGTGGTCAAGGTATGTCCAAACCAGATTTTGATCAGATGATGAAATCAAAGGGTGGACTTATATCTTTTAACAGCTTTCTATCGACCAGTAAAGATCATGATGTGTCTTTTATTTTCGCTCAAAGCAATCAGAACGATCCCGATTTGGTAGGTGTTCTGTTTGTTTTGACAATTGATCCTTCTAAAACAACGACACCCTTCGCTTCACTTGATGGTGTCAGTTCTTTCTCGCAGGAAGACGAAGTTCTCTTTTCAATGCATACGGTTTTTCGTATTGGAGAAATAATACCAATAGATGGAAGTCATCGTCTCTTCCAGGTGCATCTGACACTTACTAGTGATGATGATAAAGACCTTCGCCTGCTTACTGATCACATAAGAAAGGAGCTTGGAGAATCAACAGGATGGGATCAGATAGGCCAATTACTACTAAAAATGGGTCAGTCCGAAAAGGCTCAAGAAGTTTACGAATTTATACTGGAACAGACGGCTGATGATAGCGAAAAAGGATCTATTTACCATCGAATTGGAGAGGCTAAACATTATCAAGGAGAATATGAAGCGGCCATATCATTTTATGAAAAAGCTGGTGAAATAAACAAAAACACTTTTCCACCAAATTATCATAATTTGGCTGCTTCCTACGGCGCTATTAGTGACGTGTATTTCGACAGGAGCGAGTATTTAAAGGCACTTTCGTATTGCGAAAAAGCTCTTGAAATAAAAGAACAGTTACTTCCTTCAAATCATCCTGATTTGGCCGCTTGCTATAATAGTATCGGTCTGTTATATAACAACACGGGCGACTATTCGAAAGCACTTGCATCTTACGAGAAAGCTATTGAAATACAACAACAATCACTTCCATCAAATCATCCTAATTTCGCTCGCGCCTACAACAATATCGGTATGGTGTATCATAAGATGCTAGAGTATTCAAAAGCCCGTTTGTATTACAGAAAAGCACTAGCAATCAACCAAAAAACTCTTCCTTCGAATCACCCTGATTTGGCTGCATCTTATAGCAACATTGGTATGATGGATTTCATCATGAGCAAGTACTCTGAAGCACTTTCGTCTTTGGAAAAATCACTTGAAGTACAACAACAATTACTCCGTCCGAATCATCCTCATTTGGCTCTCTCGTACAACAACATCGGTATTATCTATAGTAATATAGGCGAGGATTCAAACGCACTTTCATCTTTCAAAAAGGCGCTTGAAATACAACTGCAATCGTTGCCTTCAAATCATTTTGACACGGCTGGTTCTTACTGCAATATCGGTTCGGTATATAGTAAAACGGGCGAGTATTCAAAAGCGCTTTTCTCTTACGAAAAAGCACTCGAAATTCAGCAAAAAATCTTTCCTCTAAATTATTCTGCTTTGGCTGCTTCCTACAACAATATGGGTCTGATATATCAAAATACAGGCGAGTATTCGAAAGCACTTTTATCTCATGAAAAAGCCCTGGAAATACAACTACAATCACTTCCTTCAAACCATCCTGATTTAGCTGCTTCCCACTATAATATCGGTTTGATATATGACAACAACGGCGAGTATTCAAAAGCACTTTCGTACTACGAAAAAGCACTTACAATTCGGCAAAGTACACTTCCTTCGAATCATCCTGATTTAGCTGCTTGTTTCAACAATATCGGTCTGGTATATAAGAACATGGGCGAGTATTCAAAAGCACTTTTGTACTGCGAAAAAGCACTTGCAATTCGGCAAAATACACTTCCTTCGAATCATCCTGATTTAGCTGCTTGCTACAACAATATCGGTCTAGTGTATAAGAGTGTGGGCCAGTATTCAAAAGCACTTTCATTTCACGAAAAAGCTCTTAAAATAAAAGAGCAGTTACTTCCTTCCAACCATCCCAATTTAGCTGCACTTTATGGCAATATAGGTGAGCTATGCATGAGAATTGGCGAATATGCAAAAGCACTTTCATCTCTTGAAAAAGCACTTGAAATTCGACAGAAAACTCTTCCTCCGGATCATCCTGATTTGGCTACATCCTATAATAACGTTGGTAACATGTACTTTGGCATGGGCGAGTACTCAAAAGCACTTTCTTATCAAGAAAGATCACTTGAAATCTTGAAAAACACTCTTCCGCCGGAACATCCTACTTTAAGAGACATCTACAGAAACATTGCTCTTATGCGTACACTGTCGCATAGATGATTGATCGAAAGTTTTCTTGTTCTATCAATGTTCAACATCTTGAGGGTGGAATGGGTGAGTACTGGAAAATAACTAACACGACGCGTTTCCATCAATTTAAAGTTTCAAGCAGTATGATTCTGCATAATAATAGAAAATTAAATTGAAAAATATCAAAAAGGCATTTTCCAATATTTGCTCTCCTAAAAGGAGGGTCATACGCCGAGTGACCAATCTTCGTTCATATGCTTGAGAGTACGAGTGTGTTTGGGTATGAAGTGGATGTTAGTTGGGTGTAGGTGTGGCTGTTGGCGAAGAGATGACCCAGACCCACACCCATAGCCACACCCACACCCACACCAATACCCACACTCACACTCATACCCACACCTACCCACCCACGCCCTCGGAATATTTTCAATTTCAATTTTTTTTATAAAATATTGAAACTTCGAGTATAAAATATCTCAAATTAATGTACTAATATTTGTCTCAGTTTATTTATGATAGAATTTCAGAAATACGACGTATATCAATGCATGACAACAAAAATTATTCATTCACTGTACTCAATTAGAATTTGAAATTCAAAATTGAGTGTTAAGAACAGTATGATAAAACAAAATCGAACTTAATTACAACAGTGCAACCATCGAAAACCCATGACAAGATTCCTGAAGAAAAACTAATAGCAATGCATGTATAAACTGAACTTAATTACACAAGTATTGCATATTCACAATCAGTTGTTCTTTATAAACATAAGAATCAAGTTTTACATTACCAAAAAATTGGTTTTTCAAAACAAGTCGCTGTTATATACTAAGTTATCTCTTGCACTGATCCAGTACTTTACTTAAACCATAGTTATACCTATATACGCTTATAATGTATATCTCTATCCCGTCAGTCTAGGATGAAGTGAATCGATTCTCGATCAACGCTACTTATTTTTGCCTACACTGTCGAAAACCATGCTTTGAAAAGCTAGCCTTAGTCTATGCAAGATTTATTATTAGGGTGTGGGTGTCGGTGTGGATGGGTGTGGGTGTCGGTGTGGGTGGGTGTGGGTGTCGGTGTGGGTGGGTGTGGGTGTCGGTGTGGGTGGGTGTGGGTGGGTGTCGGTGTGTGGG